GAGCAAAACTGAGGAGGTTGGGATTGAGGAACACTGGGCCGTGCTAAAGGATTTTCACAGTCAACAACCTGCACTCCACAGAGAGGTGAGATAATGATCTTGGCTGAGACTTAAGTAGAACAATTAGAAAGACATTAAATCAAGAACATTAGAGAAACAATTCCAAAGAGGGAAACACTGCACGAACGCACCGTGTCAGAAGTAATTAAGCCCGTTTGATAAAGAATGAGAGGAAGATTTTTCTTCCCCTTTGTTCATTTCGAAGCACGAGGAGACTGGATAACAGGAAAAAGGATGTGGACTGCTTCTAACGGTAATCATTGACATCATTGTCATTACTGAAACTTGCAGAAAATTCAATTTAGAGAACGAAGAATGTCTGATTGCAACGAGAATGGGAACGTATTGAGGGGGCAAGGAGGCCCAGAGAAAGAGTTTACGTTAAAATCCCTGCTCAAATCACCTGTTGTATGGCCACCAACGGTTGAGAACAGGGCCTGGGGTTTGTGTGGAGCAGTGTCAGAAGTAACAAAAGGTCCTTCGTGAGCCTTTGTTATGCACCAGTAAAGAGAAAAAGCTCCTTAACCTCCAAGTGTTGGTCACCAAGTTGTATAAATTAAAGCTCTCACTGCCAGGGCAAATTCAGCTTGAAAGCAAACGCTGAATGTGCCAACTTACAGGCAGTAAGATATCATCTCATTTTGTGAGCATACAGGAATGCTTCCCTGGGTCTCAGTGTAATGAATAGGAATCTACTAAACACTTCACTGCTGTTTGATCAGCACAGGACAGCATAGGGAGCTGGGGGCCCCAACCAAACGGGGGGTATCTGATGCTTCCTATGGGAGTCAACCAAGGGAAATTAGATCTGATCAGAGATTTGCATTGACTTCAAGATAAGATTTACTTCAAGATGGCCAAGTACAGCACGTTGGAGACCCCCTTCAGCCAACCCTTTTCTGCTTCTCCTGGCTGGATTTCAGTTCATCTGAAGGACATGGAGCATGGAAACATGGGAAGCTTACAATCAAACAGTAAAAGGTGACTGAGAACTCTTGAAGGAGAAAGGATACGGCTCCATAAATTGAAGAGGACCTTCCAGGTCGGCAGTGAAGGGACAGCAGCAGTTACAGCCCCAGCTCTAATGGCAGGACACGAGGAAATAGTGGTCAGCATGAACCCAAAAGTAGGAAATGAAGGACAAGAACAGGAACTAATGGCACAGGAGTAAAGAAAACCACATCTGGCGTGGCAAAAGGCTGTCAGAGAGGGGACTTGTTGCTGTTGTTTAAATTAGAGAACGCCAAATGACTTCCCAGGCCCTCGTCAGATAGGCAGTGTATAATTGGTAACAAATACAGAAAGCGAAATGACCAATGGTTATTGCTAATTTTGCTGCTGTGGAAATGCTATTTTCCTTTCTATCACCAAAATGGGATTTCTGAGATAAGCTACCTGCACTTGAAGAAGTTGTTTACTTCTAGAAAATGTGGTGTATCATCCTTCCTAACTTCTCCCTGAAGATCTTTCTGTGCCAGTAAAGTTAAACTCAAACACATTTTGAAGTACTGGGGCATCCAAAAAGATGAGAAGAACAGCAGCGTTGGGTCAAGACACAAAAAGGGACGACTAAGATGATCCATGAACCAAGAAGCCAGAAAATTAACACCAATCTTGGGAAAGACTGGGAAATTTATACGGAATTTAAGTGACACGGGATTGAAGAATACCTGTGTTGTCACATTGGCCAGTCACATTTTACAGTAAGAAGGTTCTGCTGCTCACATGTAACCCCTTTTCTTCTGATTCACAGAGATGATGCTGATAGCTGCATTGATGTGAGGCTCGTGCACAGCCCTACCTGATGTGGAAAACAAGCAGCACCAAATGTCAGCTCCACGTCCTTCAGATGAACTGAAATCCAGATGAGGAGAAGCAGCCAAAGGGGTTGGCTGAAGGGGGTTCTGCAATGTGCTGGACTTGGCCATCTTGAAGTAAATCTTATCTTGAAGTCAATGCAAATCTCTGATCAGATTTGTAGGCGACACGAAGCTGGGATGATTACGGAGAGCAATCAGGGCTGGGCAATGAAGAACCAGAAGCAAAAGCCGTGGCAATCCCTCAGGATCCACCTGAGCCCAGTGAATGTGAGGGAGGAGATGAGCTGCCCTACAGCCTTGGGTCACGGCTTTGCAAAATGCTCCTGGGGAAGGGCTGGCAGCCCTGCAGGGAGCAGCGTGCTCCCACCTCACCTCTGTGTGGAAGTCAATGGGAGCAAAGCAGCCCCACCAAAGCGAAGCTGCCAAGCAAGGAACTCCTGTGGTTTGCTATGGTTCAGGTGACACAGGCCATGGTGTGACACAGAGTCTGTTCCAGCAACGCGTGGCCATCCAGGTCCTCCCCAATGAGGTCGCTGCCACGGGACACAGACAGCAGGGATATGCAGGGGAGCACTGCACAGCAATGTGCCTGGTGTCTGCCTTCCAGCTGACCTCTTAGAAATGGAGCAGTGACTCAAAACTCACTCAAAAGTGATGGGAAAACAGGAGAAAGCGTCTTCAGGTGGAAGGCTGAAGGAGTTCGGCCTCTCTTTAATTAGGGGAAGGAGGATTAAACGTTGATTTGATTACCACGTATAAATACATTCATGCGAAAACATACCAGGTACTGAAGTGCTCCTTAATCTAGAAGATAAAGTGTAACGACAGCTGGAAGCTGAAGCATACGAATTTAAATAAGACACGAATTTTAAGCAGTGAGGGTGATTAACCAAATTACGAAGGAACAGCGCGGATCTTCTGTTCCCTGCATCAGGATGGATGACTTCATGGAAAATGCGTTGCAGCGTCGTTCACTGAGCGCACGCACAGGGTGACGAGGATCCCCTGGGTGCAGGAGGTCAGGTTGGGTGGTGGAACAGCTCTGCCTGCTCTTAAATTCCACAAAGCCACGGATGCTGAACAGCAGCCCCACGTCTTTCTCTCACGCTCACAAAACAGACCGCGAAGCAAGAAAAGGTTGTGTGTTTTTGAAGAAGAATCAGGGCTAGGAGTGAGGTGTCCAGGACTCCCTCTGCTCCAGTGTAATCTTCACAGCTCATAACATCCAGCTTTGCTGTCAGTTCTGAACTGGGATCAGATGACGGTTTGGATCAGGTGATTTTTTGTTTGTTTGTTTGTTTTGGTGTATTTTTTTTCTCGTTCTTCCTCCTCTGTATTTAACAGATTCTTCGCAGCACACATGAGCCTGTTTTCCTATCAGCCTCCAACCCTCTGTGTTCCATAAACACTCAGATGTTGTTTCGAGAGCTTGCGGGGAATATTGGTGATAGGTGGGTGGTTGGACTAGATGATCTTGGAGGTCTTTTACAACCCTGGTGATGCTATGATTCCATGAGATAACATCAGATCCAAACCTTCTGTAGCTCCATTGATGGGCTTTTGAGCATCCTGACCTGCTGGGAGGTGTCCCTGCCTGTGGCACTGGGTTGGAACTGGATGGGCTTTAAGGTCTCCTCCCAGACAAACCACTCTGTGATCTCCTCGAGCGCACTGCACTCTACAGTACGATACACTTCATAAAACCGAGTCAGCTACAGAAGAGCAGAGGGCTTTCTTTTAAAGAAATTTCCCTCTAAATGCTCAAAAGGGCTTGGGCAAAAGTGAAAAGCAGAGCTGATCTGCTTGGGCATGCTCCAAGGCAGAGAGTGATCATGCTCGTATGCTGCTAATGGTTTATTTGTCACAGGAGCGTTTGTCCATCAGGACCAAACAGAGTGGCTACACCAGTAAATTGAACAAAACAAACACTGCTGGCTGAGTTTGAATGGTTCTGTCAGTTTGGCTGAGTCAACTTTCACCTTTCCAGCCCAGGAGTTGGCAGAGGCCAAGAGCCATCCCAAGGAGCAGCCTGGGTGCAGCTCCATTGTCAGAAAGGACTGGAGAGGTTAACAGTGCGCCCGAACCACGCTGTGCCATGATGGCATGGCAGAACAGCTGTCTGGGCACATGAGAACTCCTCATGCAGAGAAGCCAGAGCTTCAGAACCAACCTGAGGAGCCGTCCAGCTGAACCAGAAACACGGAAAATTAATCATCAGATTGGCACCTGCTCATGAGCTGGAAATGTGCCCATCATTCACAAGCAGAAGTTCCAACTCCGTAGTAACTGATCATAAAAAAACATTGCTTGAAAAGAGAAATAACTAAACCAGCAGCTCCTCCCCCAAGACCATGAGAGCCCTCAACCGGGACCAGGCACAGATCCTCCCGTCCTCTGTTCTCAAGGAAAAGACATGGGAGTTTGATTCTCACTCCTTGCACCCTGGAGCCTGCGTAAAACCCAACAGCCAACGCTCCAAACCCTGACCTCCATAAGGTGGGGAAAAAATTTAAAGACAACACTGAGAAACCCAGAAGCCAAGATTCGATTTTCTTGGCCTCCAAAATATTTCTCCAGCCTTCTGACCGCTTCACAAAGAGTCTCCACGTTCCCTCAATGTGCCAGTCCCAGAGACTGCCCCGTCCTCCCCAGAATCCCATCTGAAAGATGCACAACCTCACAGCTGTCTCATTTTGTGCCTCATTCCCAGCCAATGCATCTTTCTCACCCCACACAGTATCTTCTGCCAACGGCCTTCCGCAACTCTGTGCTCCAAAGACCTCCCAGATCTAAGACACACTACTAAGAAATCCAGCAAACCTTCCCCTTCACACAACCCATCACTTGCTATGCCCACCAGGAACAACCACAGGGAGGTGGTGGAGTCACCGAGCCTGGGGGTGTTCAAGGAAAGGCTGGATGTTGTGCTGAGGGACGTGGTTTAGTGGGAGCTGTTGGTAATGGGCGAACGGTTGGACTGGATGAGCTTTGAGGTCTTTTCCAACCTTGGTGATTCTATGATTCTATGATTCACTGCCCAGATTCCCACTGTTTCCCCTGGACACTTTCTCCCCCAGCCCTGCTCTGCCATCTCCTCCTTTCTGGAGAGGCCAATCTCACCTCCAGTATCCGGGTCGTGGAAGTTGGGATCCAGTCCTTTCTCCAGCAGCCTGCAGACTTTCTCCGCGTTCAGCATTTGCACGTATTCCATGAACTTCTTCAGGTTTGCCTGCAGCCGTGACGCCCCAGGAAAACACACAACACGTAGCATTAACACCCCGATATGAGGAAAGAAGCCACCAGAGGAATATCCCCCATCCGAGAGACCCAAGGCAACCAGCACAACCTCAGAGCAGCACCCATGAGGAGCCAGGGCACATATTCATTCCCAGGTCTCTGAAGCCCTACTCCCTATAGGGTGCACGTCCTGTTTGAGGGCACACCACAGGCCTGTGCAGGATGAGGCCCTTCCTGCCCACGCCTGGCATCGCTGGACCACCCCAAGGAAGGCACTGGGGCCACCAGCCACCTCCCCCTGCCCACACCACAGCCCCCTGCTCACACCCCATGAGGGCAGACACGTGTTGCACACGCCTGTGGCACGGACACATCCCCAAAAACACACTGCAGTGTTTGCCAACCGGGCAGCATGGAGACAGCTATGGAAGGTGCTGAGCAGCACTGCCACTGACACAGCACTGGGGGCTTTGCCCACATCTTGCAGCAGCACTGCACCTCCTGAGGTCACCGAGTCACTTTGACGGTGCATCGCCTCCTTGCCAACTACTCTGAAACGCTCAGGAAGAAAGACCAGCTTCACAGGCACCAGCTGTCATCACGTGGTGTCGCAGCTACGGCTGCAAAATCGTGTTTTGTTCACGATGCCATTCTCTGTCTTTGGCCAGAGACTAAATCTTGTTCTCCTGAGAGCTCGGAGGACTCCTTGAAGCCTGGCTGGCTGGCCTTGGCTGTGAGGATTTTCTCTTTTTACCCCTTTTGGGTAGCTACTCTTGATGCATACACTGTTTAATAGATTTCCAGCCTCTAGGAATTATCGCTCTGCCAGGCAGGCCGACAGGACTGAAAACATTTCACACATGCTCCCAGCTCTGCTTTGCAGACCTTTGGGTCACATCCCCCATGCTCCTCCCAACAGCCAATGCCACGCACACGGTAACTGCAGCGCCCATCTTCCAGATTCGTGCTGGCAGAGCTGAGCCCACCTCAGCACGGCGTCGACTTTCAATGATAGCTTCTGCATTTTGCAAGCAACTGAAGAAAGAGTGCATGAGCAAAAGGAGAATGCAGAGGGAGGCAGCCTCGAGTCCAGGATGTGGCATTCAACATCACAGTCCCATGCACTACATGGGCTCTAATAGGGCCATGCATGGAATTTCTCTCTGGGAGAAATCAATTACTATCCCGTATTTCTAAACATTCCAGAGTTCATCTACCTTCAGATCAAATCCACAGCAAAGCTTCAAAAATAATTTGTCAAGCAGATGGACTTCAGAAGTTAAATAACAAATAGAAAACCGTTCTCTTCCACCAGTTACCACCTGCTGTGCTGTGTGCCCCAGATGCGCAGCTCGAGGCCTGAGCTGATGTAGATATAATTAAATCAATTAAGTTGTTTTCTAGAATAAACTTGGGGAAACCCATTGTTCCACTTGAATTAAGCACTGCCCTGAGCATGGAGACATAGAGACCCCCATTTTTAAACACACATCCATGGAAAGCACTCTGCTGCATCTCAGAGATCTCCCAGCACTCTGCCAATGGGCAGAGGTGAGAAATAACAGAAATGGGATTAAGCAAAGGGATGGGAAATTGCTAACTGAGACGTCTTGGTCAGTGCACACCTCAAACCTTCGCATCAAGATCCTCTCATTCTGCACAGCCTCTCCCACAAGCTGCCATCGCAGCCCGGTGCCTCCAGCACTGGAATGCCCCATGGGACCCCCAGCTCAGAGCCCTGGGACACCCCACAGAGCAGCCAAATGGTTCAACCACCACTGGAACCAGTACCAACATTGGGAGCACAGCACAGGGCTGAGCAGAGAGGTTAAGAACTGAAGAGCTGCAGGGCCACCATGGGGAGCTGTAGGGCCAGGAGGAGAAGTAGGGCCAACATGAGGGGACTGTAGGGACTTAAGGAGCTGTAGGGCTGCCGTGAAAAGCTGCAGGGTCACCATGAGGGAGATGTAAAGCCACCATGAGGAGCTTAGGGCCATAAGGAGCTGCAGGGACACCACGAGGGAGATGTAGAGCCACCATGAGGAGCTTAGGGCCATAAAGAGATGTAGGAACACCATGAGAGAGATGTAGGGCTGCCAGGAGGGGGCTGTAGGGTCACGAGGAGCTGTAGAGTCACTATGAGGGAGCTCTAGGGCCACTGTAGGCCAGCCTTGAGGGGTGCTGTAGAGGCATGAGGAGCTGTAGGACCACCATAAGGAGTTGTAGGACCAACACAAGGGGCTGTAGGACTGCCATGAGAGAGCTGTGAGGCTGCCATGAGGGGTTGCAGGGTCACCATGAGGGGCTGTAGGGTCACCATGAGGGGCTGTAGGGTCACCATGAGGGGCTGTAGGGTCACCATGAGGGGCTGCAGGATCACCACAAGGAGCTGTAGGGTCACCATGAGGGGCTGTAGGGTCACCATGAGGGGCTGTAGGGTCACCATGCGGGGCTGTAGGGTCACCACGAGGAGCTGTAGGCCACCATGAGGCCATTCCTCAGCCTCCTCTGCTCCGGACCAAAGAAACCAAGGACCCTCAGCTTCTCCTCACATCCCTTTCCCCTCAGACCCTCCCCCTTCTCTGCAGCCCTCGCTTGGACACTGTCTCACAGTTTTAGGTCTCCATCCTGGCTTTACTGTCTTTGTGTCAGTAAGGTTTCAGTCCCACAGAGGTTCTTTCCCACAATTCAAAAACACAACTGTTAAAACCTGTGTTTGGGGTATGACAACTTCAGGAGCATTTAGAAAACCATATTGATGGAAGGATTCTTCTGCCAAAAGCCACGAATTCGAGCTCGCTCCTCCTGCACCGCTCAGAACCAGAACAAACCATCCTTGGCTCTGGAAATCAGCTCAAATCTATAAATACGTCACGGTCGCGTCCCATGCTGGGCCCATTATAACCACTTTTCACAGAAGCAAATGCTGGTATTTACATTCTCCCGTGTTGGTTTTTCAACTTGGGCTGCATAAAAGAGCTTTCCTATCAGATTGTTTTCCATTTCAATTTAGCTAGAAACACAGAACATTTTCCTTTTCATTTGGACTGATTCACTCAAAGCTGAAAGATTTGAGAGCTGAGAGAGCGCGGAAGCCTGTTTTTCTCCCCCCAGTCTATGAATAAAACCCTGGTGGGAAAGGAATGAGATCTCATTATTGTAAGAAGTGGAGGATTTGGGGCCAGGTTTTCAAATGTGTTGAGGTGACTAGACACGAAGAGAGAGAGCAAATGTCAGACTCCCACTGAAATCAAGGGGAGCTCAGCAATGCCTAAACCACTCAGGCAATTGTGAACCTCGCCAGATACTTATTTTCTGGCACTTAAATACCTTTGAGAGTTTGTAATGGGAACCACTAATACAAACCCAATCTCCCTTTGTTTGAAAGATCAGTCAGCTTCAAACGCATAAGATATGTACTGATAGATTTACCTTCCCTTTTCTCTACCCAGTGCGCTCAAGGAACATTTATTGAAGTGATAAAGATAGGATTTAAAATGTTACTTTGCTTTAATTTTAATTGAATTCCAGCTTCCGCCCCAAAATAGTTTGATACGCATCAAAATCATAAAAGAAACATCAGGAGCCAATAAAGGCACCGTGTCCCATTTCCTACACGCAAAAAAGCGAAACCTAAATGCACGTCTATAAAGCTATCAGATCCCAGTGCATCTTCCCAAGAGCAGAAGCAATATGAATTCATGGAGATCAGGGTGATTCTCAAATCACTGTGTGGGGATGGCTGTCCTGACTGGCACGATGGAAAAAAGCAAGACTCAGCAATAAGTCATCCAACAAAATCAGCCTAGCGTACGGCCGCCCCTGGCTGATTGAAAGGGTTTTCACACCCCTATTTCCCAACCCCTCGGCGTGGAAGTGCTGTGTGAAGGTCGGGCAGATGGGGTTGGGGCAGGTTGGACCCTCTGGGACCCTTCCATCCCAACCCACAGCCATTGCAGCCTCATCCCAGCCTCTGCAGCGGATCCGTGCTCATCACCTGCATCTCCTGCAGGCTGACCGCCAACCCACCCTGCTCCCAGCGAAGGAGGAGCCCTGTTAGAAGAGACAAGGACCAAATCCTGGCTCTGCCCTTATCCCACTGCTTGGGAACCAGTAGGGCTGGCTGTCCAACCCACAGCCACCGCTCCCTTTCTGCACCCGTACCCAAAACACCCCCTGTTCATCCCAGTGAGCTGGTCTGAGGCACGTTCCCCAAAGCCTGGGGTTAAGGCCAGGATTGCTCCTGGAGAGGAAGCACAGCCCTGGTCGTCCCACTGAGACATCGTGTGCAGCCCGTTATCCCCTGTTGGTACAAAACCACAAGAAAAATCAACACCCTCCAGAAAAAGCTTGTGGAGAAGAAGCCGGTGTGAGGGAACAAGCTCTTCTCACCAGCTTTTCTCTCTTGCATCAAAATGAAAGAAAATAAACGAGATATTCTTCTGGCAGAGAAATTATTCTAACTGCTGCTGGCTGCTCAGTGCAGGGAGAGCCGAGTGCAGGGACGCTGCCGGGACCCACTGTGAGCACAGGGAGACAAAAACCCCTTCACAGCAGTTGAATGCTGATGATTCCTGCCTTTTCAGTATCAAAGCAAGGTGAACGTTTGCTCGGGGCCTGGTCTGCTCCTAAGAGCAGCTAGGATTAAGATAAACCACCTGCCGTCCAGAGCGTGGCAGATGCCACATGGTTACGGTGCCTGCAGAAGGCAGGAAGCCACTGATCTCCTCCCTGGTCACTTGACAAGCTCTTGCCCAGGCAGCAGCAAGCAGACATTCCCACAGAAATGCCTGATAATCCATTTCACTGCGCACACAAAGAATCTTTACACGCCATCTCTGAAAGCTCAGCGCTTCTCCAAACATGCCTGAAGCACTCCCAGCATTAACAGGACCAAGGGAAGCACAGAGATGCTGTGGGCTGAGGGCCAGGGGGCAGAGGGGAACACAGTGTAAGGATTGGGGTCAGCACCCAGCTGTGCTGCTCTGAGAGCTGCCAAGGCAGCACGAGCTGCAGCCTAAACCCAGTGGTACTCAGGTAATGCCAGGCTGCAGGCACGGCACAGTGCTCCAGGAGTTAACTGCACAGCTGCTCATCTGCTCATGGCATTTCCCTGCGAGCCCTTTCACCATCCAGCACTTCCTGCAGGCGTTAACGAGCTCCTTTGTCTTTCCAATCAGATTTTCAGGGCTGTGACAATATTTTAGGTAGGAGTGCAAACCAGTCAGCACCTCAGTACTGTGACCGTAACAGGAGCTCCCAGGTTGCCCTCAGACAGCTCCACCACTGCACTGGAGCCCATCTCCTCCTGGAGAACACGGAATCACAGAGTCATTCAGGTTGGAAAAGAGCTCTGAGATCCTCAATCCAACCCCAACCCATCCCACTGCCCACGTCCCCCAGTGCCACATCCCTGTGCTCACTGAACACCCCCAGGGATGGGGGCTCCCCGCTGCCCTGGGCAGCTGTGCAGTGCTGACGGCTCTTTGCAGCACAGGTTGTTCCCAATTCCAACCCAACCCTCCCCAGCACAATGTGAGCCCATCCCATCTCACTGCTGCTTTACCCTCCTTTAGGTGAGCTCATTAGGCACAGGTCTCCAGCCGAATGCACCCTGGGCTTCAGCAAAAGGGGACAGAGGGGCAGGGAGGGGACTGTCCCCCTCTGCTCTGCCCTCGGGACTTCAGCCTGGAGAAGAGACAGGGGAGACCTCCCTGTGAGCTGAAGGAGCTGCTCAACTGGAGGAGAACGGCTTTGTACACGGGCACAGGGTGATGGGACACAGGGGAATGGCTTTAAATTAAAAAAGGGGAGATTTCCCCTCACATCTGACATAAATCCTTCACCCAGAGGCGGTGCGGTGCTGGCACTGCTGCCCAGAGCTGTGGGTGCCCCAGCTTGGGAGGTGCCCCAGGCTGTGGATGGGCAGCCCAAGCTGGGGGGCACACAGCCCATGGCAGGGATAGGGCTGGGCACATACCATAGCCTGAGGAGCAGACCCACCGTCCCATTAGACCCAAAGCTAATTCTTCACAACGCTTTTAATTACTGAATCTCAGGGAAAAAGAAAAAAAAGATAAAGTGAAAAAAAAAAAAAGCAGCACAAAAAGAGCAGCATTTCACTGCCCAGGAGATAAGGCTTCATTTCAGTTAACACGGAAACAATCCCGCCCTTGCTCAGTCATGCACTGGGGAGGAATGGGGCTCTGCTGGCCCCAGGAGCACCGCAGCTCCAGGAGAACATCAGCATCCTCCCGATGGAGGCGAATGGGAGCAGGGCTGCACATCTCCCTTGGATGCCGTCCTTCAGCAGCAAGGGACAGCTTAAAAGTACAGAAACGACTTGAAGGAGATTTGTTATTTTAAGCGGACATGAAAGCACAGAGATGAAGTGAATATTTAATAAAGCACATTCCTGGCTCCTGCACACTCCTGGGGATGCCCTCAGACGGTGCCGCCCGGGTCTCCCCAGCTCAGCCCTCCCTATAGGAAGCGTGGCTCCCACTGGCAGGGCTCAGCAGTGATTCACATTTCCTGGCGCCAGGGAGATGCTGAGCTTTTTCCAGATCTGCTGCCTGGATATTCTTATGCCACAAGACAGAAACCTCACGACTTTCATCTTCGTGAGTCAGATCTGAGCCCTGGCAGCATTTTATCCCTCCCTTCTGCTGCTCGGCTAAAGGAAGGCAGAGGACGTGTTTCTTCCCATGAAGACTTTAACCTTTGCAGTAGGTCAAGCCCTTTGGGACCAAAGTTTTTGTTTTCTTTTTCCTCCCCTCGTGTTCTGCCTGTGGCTTCACCCAGCTCTGCTCTTGCTGCTGTGCATGTCCATGGAGAGCTTACAGCTCCCTCCTGCCTCCCTCACAGAACACACACCAGCAGGAGCAAGCCAGCAGCCCTACAGCAAAAGCAGTTCTGCATCCTACAGCCTTCTTAACAAGAATCCCAGAGCCTCCTGGCGCTTTCCTCCACTGCACAGATGCCCCTGGAGCCCTCCACAGCTCTGCTCCCTGCCATGAGCCCCATTTCCCCATGGGATCCCCCAGAAATGGGCTGCATTTGGTGGGCGCTGAGGGTGTCCTCCCACCCCCAGCCACCCCAATGCTGCCCACCCCGCTCCTCCTGCCCACTGCTGGCCCCAGCCTCCCAGGAACCAACACCATCCCCACGAGCCCTGTGCCTCAGGGAACAATTATCAGTGGCAACAGAAATCCTCTGCTGGTCCAGACCTCTCCACACTCACTGTTCTTTGGTTTCTTAGATGAGAAACGATATCACGGAGCTGCTGCAGCTGGCTGGGAAGGAGCAATGCAGGAGAGCATCCACCCAACCACTGCGTGCCCAGCACCTGTCAGCCCCACTGCCCCAGCCCCACAGTGCCTGTCACCCCAGCATCCATCACCCCCAGCACCTCAGCCCTACAGCACCCCACCTCCTTGGCCCCGCAGTACCAGCTGTGCCACCAGGGCATCCCCAGCCATTCACCTTCATGCATTCCTCCATCGCTGCCCACGGTGCCTGGAGCAGCAGACCAACGATGGAGGTGTGCAGCAGCCCCTGAGCAGGAGGACAGCAGGCTGCTCAGTGTGCACACACTGTTCCATCACCCACCCAGGGCACGGAACAGAACAAAGCTGCTCTTCAGCCAACCCTCTGTGTGCTCCCCTGCACTGCCTGCCCCGCGCACAGTTGGCACCCAGACCTCCAACGGAGCAGCGCCCACCACAGCACACACAATTGCACCACTCAGTGCAGTTCTTCCACTCACAACACACCAAAACCACCCCGGCTTTGGCCACACCAGCAGCTCACAGCAGGGATCTGAGCTCCGGCGAGCGAGAAAGGCTGAACCCCCTCAGGTCCTGGTGCCCTCAGAGACCGCTGCCCATCAGCATGGACCATTGGCACTGTGCATGCACTCAGAGCTCTGAGCTCACAGGCTCAACTCCAGCCTTACCTTGGTATGGAGCTTGGCAAACTGCTTGTCATCCAGTAAAGCCTGGGTGTACACACGCCGCTTGTACCGGAACTGCAAGAGGGAGAACGCCAGATGTGAGATGCACAAAGCCCACTCAGCATCAGTTTGCTCTGGAGCAGAAGTCCTGCAGTGAGACCCTCAGCCTAAATCTGAGCACAGCAGAACAGGATCTGCTGCTCTCCTCCACCTTTTTTTCTGCTCGTTCATTGCTTTGCTCAGTGAAGAGGCTCTGATCAGTTCCTCGTATCAATCTGTGTGGTTTCAGCTCTTCTCAGTGTGCTTTCAGGCACTGACTGTGACCAAACACTGCTCTGATGCCCATCTCCTCTCCCGAACCACTCCTGGAACCACCTTGCTGTTTGTCAGGGCACACACCAAAGGATCCCAGGATCCCATAGGATCACACTGGGAATTCATGACAGCCCTTCTGACTGACAATCTTCTTTGAAAACTTTGTTTTCAGAAATGAGAGCCCCCTACTTTGCAAGCAGCAACATCCCTGTCCAAATTAGGAATGTGCTGTGATGGCTCCCGTACCCAATGACTGCACCCACACTGCTGTGCCCTCTGCCAGCAGTGATTTGCAATTGATAGAACTGTTGAGTATCCCAAGTCGAAAATGACCCACAAGGATCCTCGAGCCCAACTCACACACACTGCACTCAAAGCCTGGGGTGCCCACAGAGGGTGTCATGGTTCTATGTTTTTGTTTTTTTTGTTTTTAGATTTCAGTATTCCACATCAAAACATCATGCAGTGTACGGGGCATTGAAGTGTCACTGCCCCAATCCCAGCTACCTATCCCTGTACATTACAGCAGTCACGGGATCCGGCCCTTCCGGGTGGGGGGGCGCTCTCTTGCTGCCTGGCAGTGGGTGCTGGAGGGTGCTTTCCTGGCCGTTCCAAGCTTTTCAGGTTTGACTCGGTCCCGGGAACTCTCTCTCTCTCTCATCTTGTCTGATTTATTAATCTCAATTTCAATTAAATTGTATATATATTGTGTTATCTTGTATTCCAATATTATAGTAAAATAAGTTTTCCTCCATAGATTGTTGCCGCTGCTCTTTTCCTCCCTTCCTTCCTTCCCATTTTTTGTGGGACTGGGGTGGGGGGGGAGGGCAGAGGCCTGCCGCCCCTGTCACGGACATAGATTGATCTGGTCAACTCCGTGACAGAGGGTCTGACATCAGTCCCTAAGAAACCCACCCAGACTCATCCACGTGTCCTACAGACACCTTACAGCGCTGATCCCAAACGGAGAACAAAACCAGGTCCTCCCCGGTGGCCGCTGCCTTCGTGCAGCCATCTCCATGGGGCAGAATTATGGCTCTCTTAAAGAGGTTGGATTTGATTAGATCTTTTTCAATTGCATTCTGAGATTGTGAACTTCATCTGTCGCCAGCATCCCATTATTTCAGCTGGATCTGACACCAAGTTATCTTTGGGCTGGAGTTACTTTTGAATGCTGGCAATACATCACCTCATTCTCAGCCTGCTGCAGCTGCCCTTGGGTTCCAGAACTTGTTATAAACAAGAAATCCTGGGCAGATGTGTCCTCACAACACTTTTTTCAATCATTCCCAGCTAAAAGCTGCCCAGCTCACCAACATACAGCTGTTGGACCCTTGCAGGCGCTGCCAGGGTTCCTGGCAAACCCAGGCTGGATGTTGTGTTGAGGGACATGGTTCAGTGGGAGCTATTGGGAATAGGTGAACGCTTGGACTGGATGATCTTTTAGGTCTTTTCCAAGCTTGGTGATTCTATGATTCTCTGATTCTTCACCCCCACACCACGTTGGGGTGCAACCAGCTCCAATCCCAGCTGCACAGCCGGTCGGATGGGGAAGGCAGGCTGTGTCACTCTGATGTGACAGCACGCAGTGCCACCCAGGGGCAAGGCAAAACTGCATCAGAGGAGAGCGGAGCTGCGTGGCACCATCAGCTGCTCTGAGCCTCTGCACAGCATTAGCAGTCAGCCCTGCACCCCGAGCATCACCTGGCAGGAAGCACTGCCTGAAGTCCCTCCGTAACGTTTTGTCACTCTGTACAAACCCACATCAATCTGGTCACCTCCACACTCAGCCCTAAGGGCTCATTTCTCTTATGGGCTCAGGAAACCTCACTGGGAGCAGCGTGGGATCGGTGCCCTGTAAATGGATTCCAGACTTTTGGTTTTCCAACACGTGATTTTCATGTGCTCAGCTGCCATTCTTATCAGGTTAGGAAGAATTGAAATGACCCACGACAAATGTCCACGTCAGGTCTGCTTTTAGATGTGTGCACTGAGATATTAAGCGTGGACATTATGCTGAATCATACAAAACAAAGGACTAAAGCCTAAGGGAGGAACATTAGGGAACTGACTGCCTCGTAGGTTTATTTGCAAGCATTCCTCATGGTATTGCAAATGTTTTAGTCTATATTTGACATTAGTTTACTAAGAAACTGTGCAGCATTTTCTTTCCACATTAGCTGGGATTAGTTATAATAACAGCATTCACGCTTGCATTTGTAAGAGTTCATACAGCTTAAGTGTGTAATGCTTCCTAAGTAGGCTCTGAGGGCAAATTATAGCACAGGATCCCTGAACCAGAGGTCTGCCTGCAGGTAATCAAAGCTCCATACAGCCGGTGGGGAGTCAGTGGAGCCCAAGAACTGCTCCTGCTCACCCTGTGATACACACAGCCCTCCCAGCCCCAGACCAAAATCTGTTCTGAATGTCAGTACAGAGGAATTCCATTCATTTCTGTCCCAGTTAATGTTCTGGAAAGGAATATAATATAGAATGAAACCTAGCATTTATCATCCGTGCTCATTACGTGAATGGGGTCTGTATAGGAATGGTCACTGCTGTCAAAGCACAGTGCTCCCTTCCACAATTCACACTAATTGTGAATTAAATTTAAAGAAAAAACGTGCACTCAGAGGGCGGTGAGGCAGTGGCACAGGTTGCCCAAGGAGGCTGTGGATGCCCCATTCCTGCAGGCATTGGAGGCCAGGCTGGATGTGGCTCTGGGCAGCCTGGGCTGCTGGTTGGTGACCCTGCACACAGCAGGGGCTTGGAACCAGATGAGCACTGTGGGCATTTTGCATCCCAGGCCATTCTAGGATACTATCATTCTATGAAAGTAAATGTAAAATTAAAGTGAAAAACATCAAACTCAACCCCTTCAGCCTCATTTCCAAGGACCTTCCTGTGCTTTTCCCTCTGTACCTACAGCTTTCCCTGCCTAATTCCAATTCCCCACGGCAATTACCTGCCAGTATAAGAAGAAGGAGATGTGTGACCAGCTGGCTCGGGAGGCAGAATCAGACCCTCAGGGCCACGGCCAGCGTCACAGAGCTCCGCAGAGCCATGAGCAGCTAAAACTGGAGCTCAGAGGCGTTTGCCTGAGCTTTCCCTCGATGGATTCTCTGCGAGTAAACACACACCCACAGAAATCTCTGCACCTCGTCCTGATGGGAAACGGGGGGAAATAGGGGCGGGGGAGGAGGGGGCTTCATTTCTGTGCTGCTTTTAGAGACTGTAGAGGAAGGGGTGGGATGATTCCTATGCAATTGTGCACGTACATAGGCGTGTGTACGTACCTAGAGGTATGGGTACACACACACATATGTGTTTGTGAATGTATATATTAAAAAAGACAGCTACCTCCAGGTAGGGGACGGGAGTGTCGGGATTCAGGGGGTACTCCCGCAGCAGGCGCTCCTCGTCCAGGAACTTCCCTGCTCTGCCATTGAAGGCTGGCTGGAAGAGCCCGTAGTTGAGCACATCCTTCAGGCTGTGGTTGAGGGTGCACAGAATGCGCTGCTTGGAGGCCCACACGGGAACGTCCGGATTCAACCGCAGACACTTCTGTGGAGAGACAGAAGGGCAATGAGAGCTGCTGCGTATTGCAGGGATGCGGAGAGAGCAGGAGGACGAGAGGGGAACGCCACCACCTTTGCAGTGTCAGCTGGTAAAAGGAGGGGAGGAAGAGGCAGGGGATCAAGTGTTTAAAATCAGAGGACACGCTGGCGCACCGGAGGTCAGCTCACAACAGCAGGTCCCCAGCAGCGTTCTCAGCTTCCCTCCCAGGTCCTACTGCCTGCATTTTGACCCTTGACTTCTTGTTATGATTACTTTGGTTTTCCTCCTTCTTTGCTCTTGGACTTGGTGATCTCAGAGGTCTTTTCCAATCTTCATGATTCTATGATCACTCCCAAAACAGGAGACAGGAGGCACACACAGTGCCCAAGGGGCAGGTCCAGCAGATTCACACGGTTACATCATTGTGGTTTTGTTCATGGAGGTTTTGAAGAGTTGATGCCTGACCACAGACACCTGCTTGGCTTCCCAAGCAGAAACACAGCCCAATCATCACCCCTCCGTGCACACAGAAGCTCTTCCAATGGGCTCTGACAGACCTGCGGTGTCGGAGCTCCACACCACACACCCCAGCCCATGGACTGGCACTCACCCCAGGCATCAGAGGTAACTGCACATCCTCACTCCTCACTCCTTCCATCAGCCTTGTCTCACCATAACTCATTACCACCGTGCCCACTAAACCACTTGGGGACATGGCCAGTGAGAACGGTGGGGATGGGTTGGGGTTGGATTTGGTGACCTTAGAGGTCTTTTCCAACCTTACTTATTCCACAATTCTATGATCTCCAGCTCCAGAGCCCTGGGGCTTGCTTAGGCCTCAGCAGCATTGCTATGCTTTTGTGAATTAAACAGCTTTTCCTAGAGAAAAGCAAATGGTCTTGCTGAGGCACAGGGTGGGAGGCAGCAGAGAGCCGGTGCTGCGCTGCACAGTGCTCAGAAAACTCACTGTGCAGTACAGGCAACGCTGAGCTGAGGTTACGGCTCATTTTTCTCAGGCAAGGATAACTCTCCCTTGGCAGCACGCATTTGTACTGCAAGCAGAGGTCAGCATTATCTATTTCATCGCTGACCATGTGAGCAAGTTGGTGTGCTTATCAACTACTGCTTGTCCTACAGCAGGTGCTAATGAGCAGGCAACTGCTTGCTGGTGTTAGACATCAGGAGCCCAAAACCCTAGAGATGCCAAAGAGAAGTAGAATACACATCACTCTTTTGGGAACTCTAAATAAAAAACCACCATCTACAACTTCCTACTTCACCTCCAGGACTCTTCTTCACTGTCCGATGATGCCTTTCACTATGAAACTGTATGACTAATGGAAAAAAAAATAAACTACAGACATGCACACGTGGACAAGAACAAGCAGTGGTTGAAGGAACATCCTGGAACAAAGATCACTGAATCTTATCCTGAACTTTTACTGCACAGACATATTCCAGAGAGTATTAACATTCCATACGTAGGAGAGAAAACAGCTTCCATCCTGCAACACGTTTTGTTAACCAGTGTCAGAAATTGGAAAAAAGGAAATGCCTGCTTTGGTGTTAGGTCAAAACACTGCCGTCCTTTGTGGCCATAATCCTACTACTTCAGTGTATCTTAAAGCTCTGTTTCTCGAAATACCACCAACCCACCAGAATTCCTGCAACTAAACACACTTTTTGCACTCCATGATGCAGCACAGCCATTCCAGGAGCAATCCAACAGACGACACTAATCCCACCAGTCTCTGCTGGCAAGCTGCAGAGATCTCTCTATGCAGCTTCAGCTCTGAAGCCTGCATGGATCCACAGCAGATCCAGCTGCTCTGTGCTCACTTTGCTCGGGCAGACACTGCAGCAAGGGTTCCTCTAACCTGTAGCATGGGGACACACCAGTTCTCACCATCGCAGTGGGGACAACCCTGGCAGCTTCCACAGCAGAACCTGGCTGACCTTGGAGGAACAGGAAGGGTTCAGTTGCCCAAACGCAGGCATTCAGCCAGGCACCAACCCAGCCCCATCAGGACGGGAACACCAAGCTTGGACATGAGGGCAGCTCGGCAGCCCCATGCTGCTCTCCTGCAGGATGCTGAGCAGGAGGGATCAGGATGAGTGCACAGGGCACCACAAAGTCCACCCTGTGCTGAGGACACAGGCTGCAGGCAGCTGCAGCATGAACCACTCACTTTAGTTTGCTGTACAATTATAAGTGCTGATCATAACAATCAAAGCCTTTGGAACAAGTCCTGAAAGAAAACAATGCAGTTCCTCAACTTTTAGACAGCATGGATGACCCCTTCCTGAAGGAAGAAAGAGCTCATTGCTCCCGCTTCAATCCTCTGCAGTGCACAGGATGACAGACAAGATCTATTCAGGAGCCACCCCGCAATAACGACAATAAAGAACAGCCCCTTAACAGCAAAGAAGACAAAATTTTTTCATCAAAGTGCACAAAAATGAGAGAGAATTGAAAGGAAATTAAAAGTAGCAGCTGAAAAGGTGATGTGCTTGCAGGCAGCAGGTAACATATTTCATAATATCACATCAGAAGCTCTGAGCAAACGTATAGCAAAAATGGAAAAACGGCCCCAAAGAGGCCCCCAGAGAAAGACGGAGCGGCCGAAAACAACAGAGCAGAGGAATCTATAGAAAGTGAAAGAGCTCCTTTAGAAAATGGGAGTTGCCATTTTGAGATCGGAGCAGAGCACAACCCCGACAACTGCATGCAAAATGACAACGGTGACAAAGCCGTAAAACCTCGGGGATGCAGAGGGAGCAGGGAGCTGATGGAACACAGGGGGAGCCGTGATGCGACTCGTCCCAGGGGGGGGCTCTCTTATCTCCCGAGTGTTTTCGGCATGGCTGCTTGCTGCCATAAGCCAGACTGCCCAAAGCAGGGCGGCATCCCTTCAGCCCTGCAACCGAGCGGGAAAACAGTACACAAAGGTGAGGGAATGCTTCAGGTTTCCAACATGGGGTTCCTCAGTGGGGCCACGCGTGCCCACAATGGGGTGTGAGAGCAATGGAGGCTGTCACACCGAAATTGGCAGCACACCCAGATCCTCTGCATCACGCGCCGGCCCGTCCACCCTATCAGGAAAAAACAGAAACAGGAAAGGTAAAGCTGACAAAGGTGACAGGAGCAGAGAGCGGCCCGCAATGCCCGGTGCAGAGCCTGGGCCGAGGGTGGGGCCTGGACCAGAAGCAGGGCCTGGTTTGGGGCCAGGGCTGGGGGCGAGGCCTGGGCCATGGCAGGGGAACGGCTCAGTAGGAGCCCAGGGCAGCTCCTCACCCTCTCCTTCCCAGGAGATCAGGAGTGGGGCCTCGTGCAGGGCCTGGGCTGGGAGTTGGGCCTGTACCAGAAGCAGGGCCTAGGCTGGGAGCAGGGCCTGGTGTGGGGTCTAAGATAGGAGAGGGGCCTAGGCCAGCAGTGGGGCCTAGGCCGAGAGTAGAGCCTAGGCCGGGAGCGAGGCCTAGGCCAGGAGCGAGGCCAAGGCCAGGAGTGGGATTTAGGCTGGGAATGAGGCCTAGGCTAGGAAAGAGGCCTAGGCTGAGAGATAGGCCTAGGCCGGGAGCAAGACCTGGGCTGGGAACAAGACCTAGGCTGGGAACAAGACCTAGGCTGGGAGCAGGGCCTGAGCCACACCATGGGAATGATGCAGAACAAGCCCAGGGGAGCTCCTTGCCTCCCTTTAACAGACTGTGCTTGGTATTCCCAGTTGTACACTTATTTTCTCTGTTCTGGTCAAAGCCGGACATGGATTCACCTGGCAGCAGTGCAGCACCCACACATGTGGTCATTTACTCCCTGCCTCCTTCCATCAGGGTGGGGGGGGAGAGAAGCCAGGGGAGGGGAGAAACCCAAAGTAGAACTCATGGGTTGAGATAAAACGTATTTACTGAGACAGAAAATAGAAAAGGAAAATAACAGCAATGATGATATGTATTCACAGAACAAGCACTGCAGGACACAGCTGCTCCCCATCTGCCAACCAGCACCCAGCCTGTCCACGAGCAGTGCCCCCCCCAGCCAACTCCCCGCAGTTTTGTACTTTTCTCACATGACGCCGTGCTGCATCGGACATTCCTGTTCCCAGTCAGCAGCGCTGGTTCCGTTCCACACAGCTCCTTGTTGCCCTCCAGTCCCTCACTGCAGTGCAGCACAAGGAGCTGAAATGTCTGTGGCTCTGTGCAGCGCTGCTCAGCGACACCAAAACATCGGTGTATTAGCAATACTGTTTTGCTCCCAGAGCTAAAACATAGCATCATACCAGACACTGTGAAATTTAAAAAAAAAAAAAAAAAAAACCAACAAAAAACTTTGTTCCAGATGAAACCAAGACAAAAACTTTTTCCTTCAGCAGCAGTTTCACCTGTGGTGTCTTCCCATGACCTGGGGCAGATTACAAATTCCCTGCAGAGTCCTCCTGGCAGCTGTTCTCCTGCAGAAACACAGGGAAGGAGTCTTGCTCCTTGGTGAGCAACAACCACCAGGAGAAGCTAGAACAAGTTTCCTGTGCACCGGGTGCTGGCGGTGGGCAGACTGGGACCAGCTTACAGAACAAGCTGTGTATACTGGCAAAACAATGAGAATTTTGTGGCTTAGATCACCTCCTGAGGAAAGCTCTGGCCTTGCCATCTGATGTGCTGGAACACCACGCTGGGAGAAGCTGCCCCCACCAAGAGGAAACAAGATAATGAGCAGGAGGGAGGCTCTTGGCTCCCAGCAGGAAAGCAGCCATGCACAAGCCCTTCTTGCAGAGTTGCGTGCTGTAGATAAAGGATTTGGGCTTGCTAGGTTTTCCAGCAAAACAGTTGCTGCTTGTAAGACAGTCTGAGAGGGCGTTGTTGACTGCTGCGTCATCCTCCTGTATCCCTTGCCTGAGCCAGGAAACCATCCATTAATGCTTTTTAAAAGACACGAGAGTCCAAGAGTTGTATTACAGTGTATTATCAGTGACAGCCACCCCCATCCTAAAGACCCTCCATCATTGCTTTGAGTCTAGCAGCTGCCTCCGATACAAATGCACCTTGAAATGAATGTTTGAAGAGATTCAGCACCTGATTAACTCCAAGTGAGTGGCTCTGGCAAAACAGAGCTGCAACAGCTTTCCTGTCAGCCACCTGCAAGGGAAGGGCTGCTGAAGAGCACCACTGCCATACCACTTCAACCAACTGCTGAACTCTTTGTTTAGAAAACACGGGGCAAAGGAAATGCAAAAAGTTTGGGATCAGCTTGATTCAATCACAGGCCCAAACAAAGAGCTCGAGATGGATTTAAGAGATGGTGGTTTCCTTCAGAGACTCAGAACTGACTCCAGCATGTCATTGTACCATCACAACCACTCCAGAAAGGAAACAGTCAGCAACCACCGTCGAATGTGTAAGCAGTAGGAAAAGGAGGATCTGAGAAACTTTAGCTTGACTTAAGGCTGGCAAATGCCATGGAAATTTAAGCTGCTTCTTCAGAAGGGTGCACAGGATCTTCTGTTCACTCAGCATCAACACAGAGAAACTGTAGTTTTGTAGAAAAGCCCTTATCATAAAATCACTGATGATGGAAAAGACTTCTAAGGGTCACAACCAGGTCCAACCCCAACCCATCCCCACTGTGCCCACCAACTGCCTGCTAACCCCATCCCCAAGTGTGTCTAATAGACACATTCAGAAGAGGTAAAGAACTTATCAGCATAAAAGAGTGAAAGAAATCAA